AAGCCTTGCCCATCCCTTGTCAGCACGTACATGCTCGTGGGTGCAAGAAAATACCCTGGGGCTGGGGAGATAACTCAGTAGAGTAAGTGCTTGCCTGACAAATGCAAGGTCCTGAGTTCAATCCCAGGTAAAAAAAAAAAAAAAAAAAAGGAAATACCCTGGGCCTCTTGGCTGGCCTCAACCCTGAAGGACGCTGCTTGACGTGGGCCTGTGTGACTCTGGACGTGGCCTCAGAGCTGCAACGTCCAAAGAAGTTTCAAAGGAGAGAAGTGGGAAGGCCACTTGTCTCCTCACTGTCGCACGATGAATATGCTGACATTTCAATTTCTAAGTCCTAATTCGCCACAGCAATGACTTCTCCTGACCACTTACAAATCACCCAGACCATCATTAAGAAGTGAGCAACTCTACTTCTGTCCAATCATCATCAGCTTTTGCAAAGGCACTAACTCTGCCTCCGGAAGCTTGGCCCGGAGGAAGTAAATCAGAAAAAATACTGCAGGTAGAGCTCACACGCGTTCAGGCTGCTCGAGAGTGGGTTTGCCCAAGGACGCACGCGGGGTCGTCATGAGTGGGAATCATAGCAGAGACAGCTTTAGTGGAAAAAGTTTGGGGGTCAGCAAGCACCCGAGGGCCAAAATGTACGTCTTAGTGGCCTCACCAAAGTAATAAACAAAACCAGAGTGATTTTTTCTGCCGAACTTCCTGGTCACCTTTCACGCCCACACGAAGCATCACGGGGAATGCCGTGAGGATAGCTCGGTCGGACTTGTAGTTCCAACAAGGAGGTTTGAGCTGACTCCCCTGGGTTGTGTAGGTGTGAAACACAGTACGACTGGAGATGCAGGCAAATAGGATGCCCAGACAACAACCTTCAATGTTTTTGAAACCGAGACAACAGGGTAAGGTGCGCCAGCCTTCCTGGTCCGTCTGGTATGCCACCTGTCATCTTCAATAAGGTAAGCAAGCCACAGGCATAGTTTTCCTCCCCACAGAACTGCACCCTTTTTCATGATTCGGTCTGGGTACGGTTTGGCAATCAGAATTGAGCAGATTGGGGGTGGGAAGGCCTTTCTGCATCCCATATTCTCTCACATAAAGTAGAAGAAGGAGGTGAGTGACTGCCATGTTTGCCAACTTTCCTCCATTCCTGACACCAAAATGCAGACTTCCCAGGGGTTCCTGAGGCCACGAGGTGGATATTTCCCCACGGTCCAGCTGACCATGAGGTGGGAAGTTCCGAGAGTCCCACAGGAGGTTCTGAGGAGGTTCCCTCACCCTGCACTTCCACCGTGCGCGTTCTTGTGGAATGAGACAGTGAGGGGGAGTGGAAATGCTGACGACCGCGGAAGAGGCCTTGGGGACTGATGAGAGGACAGAGAGTGGAGAGATCAGAGCCAGCAGGAGACAGGAACCCAAGAGGGGAATGCTGCACTGTCATCGAGTTCCCTGAGGACCACCTTCCGCTGGTATGTTGTGGAGTTGAATCTGTTTTCCTGGGGAACTCATTCCTTCAACAATATTTTTTGAGAACTGGGTAACTAAGTAAAACAAGGAACTGTTATCAGTGCCGGGGATAAAGTAGTGACCAAAACGTTCCCAATTTACCACGAGGTGGATGAGCGTACCAACTGGATGACTCTCCAAGGAGCACCACTGTGTGGGGAAAGCCCGGCCTGGAAGGTTAGCACAATTGCACTTAGGTAACATTTCTAAAATGACAAAGTTTGTGAGTGATGGTGAGTGTGGGTTAGGTAGTTAGAGAAAGGTGGGTATAATGATTTGAAAGCAACTTGCGGGGTCCTTGGGCTGTGTCTCCTACTGTGGTGGTGAATACTGCGGAAGCTCCCGATTTTATACAGGTGAGAAAAATGCTGAGATCTCAACACATGCACACACAAAAGAGCACAAGCAAAACTGGGGAATCTAAAAAACCCAGCGGATGGCGTCAATATCAACATTCCCATTGGGATCCTGGGCTATATAGTTTTATATAATGTTACCACTAGGGGAAGCTGGGTAGAGTTGCCTTGGGATTCCCCTACACCACTTCTTAGACCAACACGTGCCTGCACCATTTTCTCAAAGAGAATTTCAACTGGTAAACAACTCTCTGGCCTAGTGGATCCCATATTGGAGTGGAAGCCTCATATGGTATGGTGGTTACAGACAAAAGCCAAGACCACCCTGGGTTCATCTGCCCCTCCGGGGGGTTATGTACCCCCACCAGAGATTTCTCCCATCCTGGAGACACAGTTTTAACTTTCCATTGGTGACTGCATGGGATTCAGACTAGGGAAGCCGCAGGTGCTGCAGAGCACGAAGCCCCACTCTCCGGACCCCACAGTGTAGGTCTCAGACGTTATCCAGGCCGCAGGCACTGCTACAGTAGACCAGAAAGGTGACACACAGATGCCATGGGTTCCCGGTGGCCAGGTAGAAGCCCAGCTGGTTTGCTGCCAGTTTCTGTCATCCCCACAGTCACCTGCAGGCAACTCTCTGGGGTCTCCTTCCCTTCTGCCCTGGCGCCTGGTCTGTCCTGGTGGAGCACACAGTTTGCAGAATCTCTCTTTGCCTCAGCACAGACATGGCTCTCTGTTGTGCTCTTCAGAAGCAAGCGACAACTCTTCCTGCAGGCCTAGCCATAAACTCAATCCAGGGCTGGCCCTCTGCCATGGCCACTGTGGTCAACGCCCAGCGTCACCACCCTGGAGCCCCGCACCTGTCAGCCTCAGTGATCTCACTGGCTGGGAGCCATCCAGGTCTGCAGTATTGTTTTATTGCCTTAGAAGAGCTCCAGAGGATGAAGCCATGTAAAAATAAATAAGATCTGAACAGACTTTAAAGTTTTTATTCTTTTATATTACGCCATGTCTTGCACGGTATGGCCACACAGCAGAAGCCTTCCACGATGCATGGCTCGCCGACAGGGCACTGCTGAGAAAGCTGGGGCTCTACACCCAGGACCCAGTCTGTCAGAAAGGGAGGCAGAGGAGAGGAGGAGGAGGAGGAGGAGGAGGAGG